TATATATATATATGAAAAGTGAAAAACATTTTTGACTAGATAAAAAATCACAGATTTTCAGGAATGAATTACATATTTCTAAGAAAATCCCCAATTTCTTACTACAAGACATCAATTTACAAATAAAAATGTATGAATAGAATCAAACAAATTTCAGTTTTTAAGAACTAATCAAAATCTTAAGAGATGGGATCTAAAATGTATGAGTGTAAATCATAATTTATAAGAATGAATCACATATTATTAAGAAAAGATCACAAATTTCTGAGTACAGAACATAACTTTAAGAATAAAAATTACAAATTTACAAACACGTATCAAAAATGTGTGCTTTTCAGTATAAATCGCAAATTTACACAAACAATATTTTAGGAAAGATAAAACCTATGACCAATAGCTTTGTTTTAACCGTCCATCTCCTCATCTTATTTAATGCAGCCTGACAAACAACCACTACTGCCACCAGCTGGTAAGGAGTGGAAAAACCTTCTCTAAGATTTTTTTATTGTAAATTTGTTGCAACATTGTAACTTTTTACCTGTAACTTCTAAACTCAAATTCTCACAGACATAATATTGAACATATTTAATAGATGACAACAAGAAACAAATAAAAATTGTAGATTTAATATTTTTCTCCTAACTTACATTTAAGAATTTAGACACCTACCTAGAAGGTTTCAGTCCCAGTTATCTCACCCCATAACAACACTGATGGAGAACTACTTTCTTAGTTTTACATCCTGTCGTGGAGTCTGGCCTACTTTTCGCTTATTGTTGATAGACTGAAACAACTCCCACCTGCAGGATGGCCCCATAGAGGCGCAGCAGGACGCTCCTGGGCTCGTCCCCGGCCGTTCCCAGGCCGTCGGGGAGGCTGCACAGAAAGAGCTTGTTGCTCAGGCCACCCCTGGAAGACAAACAGACATGCAATAAGTGTGAGTGCCTCAAAGTTCCCCATATTAAAGTTTTCTTCTGCTTCTGTTGATGCCCCTGAGCCATTTCTGCTAATGTTTTAACTGCAAAGACTTCAAACACTTTCGGCTCTTGAGTTGCAGTGAATCTATTTATAAGATCCAGAACAGAAACCCAAACATTTCCTGTGTAAGACAGAGGGAAAGCAGCAGCTCTTTTTTTTAAATCAGGAAGTAGTGAAGGCGTTTGTCTGTTCAGAGAGGTTTTCAGCTTAAATACACATGTGCAACCCTGTCTCAGCAAGTCAAGGCCTCTTTGAGGATGTAGACAAAATAGCGGGGATCATCTTCATCATATTAGGACAAAAATAGCTAAAGCCTGACATGTGAATCTTCTAAAAGGGGATTAAAATAAAAATGTAAATGCATGTTACAACAAAACTTAAGTTGTTCTGTTTATCTACAAACCGTGTCACATGGCAAACCATTTAATAATAAACTCTATATTAGACCATTTGATGTCTTTATCAATAACAAAGTAATGAAAGTTTAACATTTAGGGGTCGTTTTCATTAAAAAAATCATAAATAAAGAAACTACTTTGCTTGGTAATGATATAGCTCATATTCCTCAGTTTATAAAACAGTACAGCTTTCAGACCGACCAAACAAATTCTAGAAAAGATAAAATAAGCCTTTATCATGTGGAAATTGTGGTGTATATAGGTGTTTATATGCATTTATTTTCAGGTTAAACATTTAAACAATGTTTTTAAAGAATATAAAGACACCTTAGTCTCTCTATAGTTGCCACTTCTTTAGATACATAGCAAAACATAACACTAAATACTACAGTAATTACCTTTATAGGCCTTTAGAGGACTTTTATATTAGAATTAAGATGATTAAATTTCTTACTAAAGTCTTCATCTGCATTTCCTTTCCAAAAAAAAGAACTTAGCGGCTGCATTCAAACATGGCGTAGATAAGAGATTTATCTTAACATGAACATTTCTGCAAAGCATGCTACTTTACTGTATTTGGCCAAAGCCTGAAAATAAATATTATAATAAAAATAAAAATAAAAAAAACAGAAAAATAATCATTTTACGGCAACATTTATATTTGAAGGGAAGATTCAATGGATGGTTTTAGAAAACTAGATGCACTTAAATCTGAAAATTTTCATAAAATTTGCCATAAACTCAGAAGTAGAGTTTAAATTAGGAGATATATATGTTAAATACTTAATCACATATAAAAGCTAAAGGAGTATATATCAGATATGCAACATTTATATTTGAAGGACAGGTTTAAGGGTGTAAAATTTGTCATAAACTCAGAAGTAAAGTTTTAATTAGTGGATTTTTGTTAAATATTCAATCACATATAAAACTGAAGGACTATATATGAGATGCAACATTTATATTTGAAAGACAGGTTCAAGAGATTGTTTTAGAGAACTAGATGCACTAAAATCTGCTCATTTTCATCAAATTGGCCATAAACTCAGAAGTTAAGTTATAATTAGATTTTTGTTAAATATTTAATCTCATATAAAAACTAAAGGACTATATATATGATATTTTTGCTTCTGCTCCCATATGGTTGTTATGCAGACAAACTCAAATACTACAGATACACAATTCAATCAAATTCAAGTCAACATTATAGATTTTCATTATAGATGAACTGATTATTCTGTAAATGCATTCGGTGTTTTTTAAGCAGCATAACATGATTTCATGCCATGGCTGCTGTGGCTCATTATTACATTCATGCACACAATGGATGAGAAGCTGGCCCCTGCATCACAGCAACAGGAAGCGCATGTCAACCTTATGATGGTGATGTGGAAGTCCTCCTGGCTCAGTGTTTTCCAGGCTCCGTGCAGGAACTCTCTGCACCACAGAAAAGCCTTGCGTCTGGTCTCCAGGTCCGGCTGGTCTGGGCGGACCACATCCTTGCAGTCCTCCTGGGTGTCCGGCTGGACGTGCAGGGCGTTCTCAGTCACCAGGAGGCCGAGGGACATGGAAGGGGAAGACGAAACCCCGTTTATGAAATTGGTTTTCATGTTGCCTTATTTTCTTTATATAAAGATACTAAAGAAAAATAAAGAAGCAAGAAAAAAAAACCCGCAGTCTTTACGATTAGGATTGTGTCGCAGTTGGATATAATTTGGTTATTTCACGAAAAATAGGCCTATATATGTAAAGCAGACTCCTATAGTTCTATGTTTTATTATCTATTATTTATATAAGCTGTAGTGTCGATTTTCAAATAGTAAAGAACGCGAATATCAGAGATTAGCGACAAAAGGCGAGCTTTCAATGGTAGAGAATGAATCGAGGCTGAGAGATGCGCAGAGTATAACTGAAAGGGGCGGGGCAAGTTTAGGAGAGAGGCCCGCCCCTTCTGTTCTCTGATTGGTTGAGCAGAACCAAAACATACCCAGTGACGCGTTCAAATAATGTCGGACATTTGCAACATTTCGAATAAGGTTCAAAGTTCTGTGTTAATAATGATGCCAAGATGATAAGATATGTAAATATTCAACAAGCCACTTCAGAAGTATATTTACATTGCATTTTCCCAACAGACATGCAGTGTTTAATTTTCTATATGTGTTTCCTTTTTTTTTTTTAGAGTTACAGTGTCTTTCAGTTAAAAAAAAGATTAAAAGTGTTTACCAATAATATAACAGACTCATTGGAAAAAGATCAATGATAAGAATGACATGAACAAATGCTATAAAATTAACTCTAGAAATCATAGTTACAAGAAACCAAGAGATAAAGGAAGATGACATTTTTAAAAGGTGTTTCTTTTCAAAACATTTCTATCAAGTGAGTCAGTTGAGGGTATTAAACATCACTAGGTTAGACTGACCAAGTTTTCCAAAACCTTGCCTTATGTTCTTGGACTGATACAAAAAACAAGATTCAACAAGGACTATAAAGTTTAGTTACATAAATTTAAATCTTACTCAGGGAGATTCAGATTTTGAAGGATTGTATGTCAACCATTAATTATGTCTCTGGTATAAAATAAAATAAAAAACAGCCATCTATTGTTATTAATGCTGTTATAAATAACGAGGAAAAATATTTGCTTGTCATCAGCACCAAATTTCCTTCATTCTTTGTCATATTTTCTGTTATTCCACTGAGTTTCTTTCACAGCTTATTCTACCTATTTCTTCTTGTCAGTAGCTGCAGTATTTTGGATAAACTGAGGATTATTTTTAGAGATTCATTGAAACATCAATATCATAAAAAATGTCAAAGCTCCATTAAACGTTAAGATAGCAAAGACATAAAGAAGCTTTTCAGGCTCAAACCTAAAAGATTGTCCCAATGTTTTATTAACATTCTGCAGTTGGAAGAGAGCAGACAATTAGAATGTGATAAAAGGACACAGTTTTGTTTTTGTTTTTATTTATTTTTAATTTTTTTAAGCCTTGGAAGAGCAACATAGAAATAAGGTTTGCTTGGTCCAGATGCAATTAGTTAGTTTTTCTCAAAATACAAAAAAGATTATGTTATGGATCATCCAAGCCCGTATTTCTATTAAATTAAACTTATAGTTTTAGACAAATGAAAGTATGAGGTGACTTTACCCACAGGTACAGTTCTGAGTCATATATATAAAGATGAGTTCATTGAACTCTGGGAAATTCCACAAATAACTAAACAAACAAGATAGACTCATCACAAGCAAGAAAATAAACAAAGTCTGATAAACGTGAATATGGCTTAAAAAACAACTTTGTTTGATGTGTGATTGTTTGTATTTGATAATGCCAAAGGTTATAATGATATCAAACTAAATAAAAATGGATCATTGGGCATTTTCTGTTCAATCCAATGAACAATAACAGTTTCTTTACAAATATGAACTGATGTCTGGAGCTTCAACCTCTCTAACTATTTTTAGCATAGATGATTTGAAATAGATCAAAGGTTTTTAAAAGCACGAGGATCCAGGAATCATTTGTCTTAATAGTTTATTTACCACCAATTTTTAAAGCCAAAGAATAAGTCCTAAACAGAAAAAAAAATTATGCACTTTAAAACAAAACTCAGATATTACAGTCTCTAGTAAACAACCAGGATTTATAGTTTTGTTCATTATCAGACATTTCTATTTATTTAGTCACTAAAACACGTTACGATTTTTACTTCTTTTGCAGACTCGAAAGAGCGCTCTGTTTTTTCGGACTTTTTTAAGGAGTCTTTGAACACAACACAAACGTGTCGCATTTCTGTCTGGTCTCTCACGTAGTGCGAAAAGACCCTTAAACCTTCCAGCATCATAAAAACCCATGCGGTTCTGTAAGATTATTAATTATTTCACACCTGCGCACAGATAAACCAAAACAGAGCTGATATGAAGGATGTTTACTGCTTAAGAGCAACTTTTATTATTTATTATATTTCTAAAGTAGAGGGCGCCCTGCCTAAGCTCTCTTTATGCACGTTTCCCCCTTTCTTGGTAAAAACACTTTGAGGTCACGAAAAGTTGTATCTTTCTACTGAGTGCATGGGTGGTTCTAGACAGGGGCCAACGGGGGCCAGTGCCCCTGTAGATCATGTCCTGGCCCCTGTACTGAAGACATAATACTCAAAGAAATTCTAATGATGATCTGTGCAGGAACAGACATAGTTACTGATAGGTCCTTTGGATCTATTTCATGTTTTTTCTTTACAAATTGTGTTTCACTTTTTTATTTTTTATTTTATTTTATTTTTTTAAACAATCAGGTTATAGCTTCAGTGGTATTGAAATAGGATCCCAGTATTTATCTACTTAATGTATTTTTCAAAACAAAAAATAAATAAATAAAATACTCTAATTTTTACAGCTGAATTTATCAGATGTTCTTGAGTTCTTTATAGAAAACTGTAATTTTAACTTAAATTAAGTCAAAAATATGTAAAATTACTAAATTGTGAGTGTACGTTGACCTAATAAGACAGAATTTTAATTAAACCTAATTGAATAGAAATGTCCCTTCATGCAGCTCTCTTAATGTATTTGAATCCCTCGTCCTGTTTCTTATTTCATGCTTTTCTGTGCCCCATGAAAAGATGCTGGCCCCCTCCTGGCCCCCTGGTACATTTGGTCTAGAACCACCATTGACTGAGTGGTAAACTTCTCAGCATAGATTAATGGCTTTTGAGACTAAATTTCAATCCCATAAATAGCAGATTACATCAGCTGTGTAAAAGCCAATCATAATAATTGCATCACTTTTACAGTTTCCACACAAGAAATTACTTCTATATTGTCAAGCTGGAATCAAAATACAAAAACAAAGAAAAGTCAGGACTCCCCAGTTCCTTTCAACAAACATAACTTTATTTCCAGTCAAATCTTTAGTTACCCATCAGTGTAAGTGATCGTGACTTGGGGATGTATTTCCTTTAATCAGTTTTCTTTTATTTTGAAAGAAATAAATTTGCCTTTAAACACATACAGTGTGGTTATAATGAATTGTATGGGGGGGGGGGATATTTGGATCTGGTGTCTAATATTCTAATTCACAAAGAGATAGGCTTCATAAAGATTTATAATTTCTTTTTTCCTTTTTTTAAAATATATTTCTCTCCTGTTTTTTGGTCAGCAGGCCTTGTAACCAATTATTGGTTTTATGGTAGTTTTGGGAAAGTCAAGGCATTTATAGAAATAAATAATAAATGTAAGAAACTTCACAGACTTTGAGCACCTCTGTTCTCTACTGGGAACGCCTCTCTGCTGAAGTTGCATATCTGAATTTGTTATTTCAATTAAAGTTTCTATATTAATCAAGAAAATTAACATAAATAACATTTAGAATGCCAGTTTATTTTAAGGATTCCACATAGCCTACTGATATAAAAGTTTCTATGTTAAAATGTCAAAAAGCTAAACTTTTTGATAAAATTTCTCTTTACTAAACAGTTGCAAAAGTTTTTATGATCTTATAAAAGTCAGAAAGCAAAACTTTAAAATCCTAAAACAACAGACACTTTTAAAAAGAGGATCGGTTTTCTCTCTCTCCACCAGGGGGAGCCCGTATCTTTCCTTTAAAAAGAAGCGACCCTTTTCGCTTTGGAAACTTCCGCGGTCTTCTGTGTTTTATAGCTTTGCATTTATAAGTTATAGATTCTGTTTACATTGACAATCTATATAAAATGGAAATGTACCCAATCTTTTTAAATTTCTTCCCTTTTCTTAACTTATTCTTTACAAACTCCCCCCCTCGGCGCCGCCCCGGTGTCTAAAACATTCGCGCCCAGCCTTCCTTTGACAGAGCATGTTGATGACGCATTCACCCACAACAACAACAACAGAACTCAGCTGCTGTAAAGCTAACTAGCCGGCCTAGTTATATGATATTTCCTTTATGCTTTCTCTTACATTTTAAAACTGTATTGACACCGTCATATTTATCCATTTTTTTATTTCATAAAGATAATGCAATAAAATCTGGAATTCACTTCTTTATTTCAATAGAGTTTGAAAATCTTTGTCTGTTAGCATGTTAGCTGTGGAACCGTGTAGACCTTGGTTCCTTTTCACCTCCATCTAAAGGTAACGTATTTGTTTTATAATGTTTGCGTCTTTAAATTGTCTTTATACAAACTGCATTTGGTCTTTGATGTGCATACATATAAATGATAAAAGTGTAACAGGATGTGGGTAGGTTGTTATAACCTAGCTGGTATAACTAGCCGTCATGCTCCTAAAGGTTTAAATATTTTAGCTTGTGTTTGATATGTGAAGAGGTTAATATCAAATATAATCCAAAATGTCAGATATTTTAGGAGAGGCACATTAAATAATCTATCAAACCTGGATTCTGCTTGCAACACGTTTCTTGACCTTATGGAGAAATCTATAGAGGTTGGGAGTTTGCTCAAGTCAGTGTCCAGGTGTTTATAGTGTAAAGGCAGGATATGGCAAATAAATAAGTACAGTCCTTATTCACCCAGTTCTCTAACAGCTCAACCTGTCAGTCTGCATTCAGTTGATCTGTTTATCATCCATCCATGCAACCATTCAGTCCATCCACCCATCTGTGCATCAATCAATCCATCCATCCATCATCCATCCATCCATCCATCCATCCATCCATCCATCCATCCATCCATCCATCCATCCATCCATCCATCCGCTGTGCTTTCCAACTACTGACTGCTATCAACCACAAATCTGTGTTGAACTTTTGTAGTTTTGCTCTAAAGCTGGCTAATAGGACATACAAATCTCAAAGTCTTTACTTTCAAATGTTTGGAATATGTAAAACGTTAAATTTTACATATGGAGGAGCCTTATAATTAAAGAAAAACTGAAGACAAAA